ATAAAATTATGTGATTGGTTATTTTTAAATAAAACCAGAATAATTCAATCATGTTAAAAGCCTTAGAGGGAAGGAAAGCAGGGAAAAATGCTTTTTAAAGAATCATATTTTTAAACTCTTTCAGAAAACAAAGAATGTTTTGATGATATGAACAACTTTCCTTAGGTTTCATAAATCTATATTTCTGAGGTAGATTTACCATGAAGCTAATGGATTTAAGCTTCAAAGTCCTTCACTTGGACAGGCCTATACCTAATTTTGCATTCATAATTTTATATACTTTTTCTTAAAGAAAACCTCTAAAATTATACAAGGACACTTCAAAAAGTTCATGGAGAGATTTGTATTATCTTTCAATTCTATTTTGCACGAACTTTGTGAAGTAGCCTCAAATAATCTTGAAACCTCCCAAAACCCAATTCCAACCATGACTATGTATTACACTTAAAGCAAGGAGGATTTGCCCTAAATATGAGGATTTGTAGAAGTAAATAATGAGCCATGGTTGTTATAAAAATTACTCTGTCTAAACAAATAAATTCACTGAAGAAATACTTTAAATCTGGCAGTGAGAATTAACATGGTTCCTACTGCAGGAATCCTTTCTACTTGCCAGAGATGTGTGCTATGACTGTACTTACTCTAATTTTACTGAGGCATGTATCATGTGTTAGTTAAACCGATCATCTGCCGTACTAGACAGTGTGGTGCAAAATGGCTAGGACCCTCTCTTAATTATCTTTGTATTCCCAGGACCTAGAAAAGATCCTCCTATTCAATAAATGAGATTTAATTGATCTTTAGAAAAGCACTCTATTGTGTATAAAGGATGCACAGCCACAATTCTTCACTTGAGTAGACTCCATAGGAAACTGATAAATAACTAAACAAGACATACATACATGAACTGATTTGGTCACATTTTGTAGAAGATATAAGCTTTTAAGGGCAAGAACCACACAATATCATGAATTATTTTAAAAATACATAAAAATACAAAGAAAAATATAAAAGTCCAACATTCCACTATCATGCTTAAATTTTTTCTTAATAAATAGAAACTTAAAAATACAGTAGAAACCACCTTTAAGCCGTACCCAGATACAAATCCTTTGGCCTCCCTCCTGAGAGATGACCATCACCCTGAAGTTGGTGTGTATCCATTCCATCCATATGTTCTCATTTTTACCATTTAAGAAAATATATCATAAACAATACATAGTATTATTCTGTGTTTTAATACTTTAAGCCAGAATTATCTAATACAAACAGGTAAATTTTATTTTAATGTTATATTTTATTTAACCCTGCATTGGGAAAATATAGGAAAATGGTAAGGGCCCCTCAGATGTTCAGAATCTTGCCGAGCATTTGTTGTGAATAGGTTTTGTGTGGATGGAGTTAGTGCGCCTGTGCTACGCCGCCACCTTGGCTGGAGTTTACTGCCTAGGGCAGTAGCTGCACTGAGCAGCCATGCCTTTCCAACCTAGGGCTTCCAAGGACCTGTTTGCTGGTTACCTAGCTCATGGACCTGTGGGTGATGGGTCTGGTGACCCAGCCTGGCATATGAAGGGTTTGTGACCCAGGCTGTGAATGGGCTTGAGGTGTCGGTGAGCTCCAGATCCAGCCCTAGCTCGACAATTGGCCCAGTCGGGGCAGGATTACCGGCAGGTAAAAGAGCTCCACAACTGGCGACATGGGCAGGATTCCGACATTAACAGAGCACCCCATTACCGGCAGGTAAAAAGAGCACAGCAACTGGCATAGTCCTGTAGCTAGACAATTGGTGTCAGGAACAGGATTAAGAGCTCCACAATTGGTGCTGTGAGCAGGATTCCGACATTAGCCTAGCCATAGTGCCACAATTTGTCGTAGTCAGCAGGATTCCAACATTAGCAGAGCACCACCCTGTGTATATCCAAAATATTATCATTTAAACATGTAACCAATATAAATATTATTCTTGAGCTATTCAATAAATCTTTAAAATCCCACTGGTATATACTTACAGCACAAGTTGAAAAAATAGATTCGTATATCTAAGTTATTAAAAACATGGATACTTAAGTTTTCCAATAAGTGAATCAAGCATTGGGTTTTTAAAATTTGGGGCCGGCCTGGTGG